ATTATAGAATGTTGTGTAAAATAAATGTGATAGGAAAATATATTAGTACTAGCATAATGAATAATAATTATAGGTTGTATTAAATGAGACCAATATTAAAATTATTCCATAATAACTGTTAAGCGATGAAAAGAGTTATTGTCTTCTCCGTAGATTATTACTTAGATTTCTTAATGCAACGAAACCTTATAGCTCCCAAGGGCTTTATAATTTGACATCTCATTATGCAATCATAATGTACCATTATACAGGTTTCCTTAATTAATCCACTTGTGGGAAATTTATACTTACCCCTTGGGAAATTATTCCTACAACTAGACTATCCAAACAGTAATGTTGTAATCTAGTATTTTTATTATCAAGAGATTAGGGGTGAAATACAGAAAATATTAGTAACACAAACATATTTAATTTTTCTGTATATTAATAATAGGTATATATGTGTGAAATCGATACAAAATTAAAGTTATTATATTTATAATTTATTTTAAAGTACAAGATTACTTAAACACATTTTTTTCACTTTAAGCATGAGGCGGTGTCTCAATCAACAAAGTGAATTTGATGTTCCTTGTATTTGGAAGAAGAGAGAAATAACCAGGGGATATTCTTTGATGAAGGGACCAGGATCTTATGATAGTATCCTAGGAAAAAAATTATAAATCGTAGCTGATTAGAAAATCGTTGTATACTAGTAGCCGTCTTCGCCTTTTTATTATTCTGTTCAATTCATGCATGAACATACATATCTCCTTCGCAATACTTCATCCATATTATGAGTTTAGAACTTTTTAATATAGTTTATAAATAGTTATAAAAACACCTCCAACTTATAGGAATAACATCTAATTTTGCATGTCGCCGTACCTTAGTTATCATACTCCCCCGAAAAGGCTTAACCGATTTTTACCAAATTTTATATGTGTATTCAGTAGGTCTGAGAATCAGCTACTATTTTTCATACTTCTAAGTGATAGGGGTTGTTCATCCTTATTGTTTTTTATTTTTGGAATTACGAAATATTTGTTTTTATTTTTTATAATGTTGCATTAAAAATACATACAACTCTTAATGTTTACTTCTTCACCACCAACCCCTATTTTCTTACATGGCAAAAATACGTTTGTCGGGTCAGCTAGTATTTCATAAAGTTGAATTTAAGATTCTGCTAATAAAACAAGAATAATAATGGAGATGATAAATAAAATCACCTCAATGAGAAAATAAAATACACAGAACAGGTATTCATAGATAATATAATTTATCTGAGTATTAGCTATAGTTGTTAGAAATTTTAAGGATACCTATGTCTACTACTCTTTTATTCAGACCAACCTCAGCATTCCAAGTTTATGATAAAGGTATTTCTGATTGACTAAGTCAGATCTTGTACTTTACGAAGTACATTACATTACAGTCACTACGGTGAGTACACTTTTTTTCATATGTTCAGTTCTTCTTTTGCAGTCCGTTTGTTTAATTCAAATGTTTTTTTTAGATTATTATATACACTGATTTAATGCAGTTGTAAATTGGATTTAATAGAAAATTTCAAATATACTATGAGCAAAAAAAAACTTAAAAATTACAAAATTTGGAAATTGATTATAGGTGTCATGTAAAATATTTTTTATATTAATTAGATTAATTATTGTTGAAATTTGAATACGAAAAATGTCCGAAAACATTTTTATGTTTTAGGAACAATTTTTTCACCAATAATGTTTTAGTGAATATGGGTTTTAAATACTTTCAAGCCCGTTTTCAAGTTGTTTTCTTATTTTAGTTTCATTACTTTTTGTTTTATTTTATCGTATCTATCGGCACTACAAGCTTTAATAACGGATGCGACATGTAAATAAATTGAGGCTGTCATCAATTCTTATTAAACCTCATTAGTATTTATGATTATTGTTAAAAGTAAAACGAAATCAAAGGTTGTTTAAAAGGAGAATAGAACTATGTTTAAATCTTGTTATAAATATGACGTCATGACGCACGACGGCAGAATGAAGAGTTCAGTGAGTGCGTATCATTGAAGTATGTGATTATGAAGAACCTTCGAGAAATACAGGAGCATTAAGAACGATTGAAGTTTCATTTTCAAATATCATGGAACGCTCTAGAAGAAGTGACATTTGTAACGTCAGCGAGGCTGGCGTCTCTGTCTTTCAAAACAACGAATCCCTACTAATATTATAAATGCGAAAGTAACTCTGTCTGTCTGTCTGTCTGTCTGTCTGTCTGTCTGCTACGCTTTCACGCCTAAACCACTGAACTGATTTTAATGAAATTCGGTACAGAGATAGAGTTGACCTTGAGAAAGAACATAGGATAGTTTTTATCCCAGACTTTTGAAAGGTTCTCTTGGAAACGCGATATAACCGAACTCCACGCGGCGAAGCTGCGGGCGGAAAGCTAGTTTATAATAAATCCGATTTATATATTTCCCATCAGGTTAGTACCAAATTAGGTGTGTCATAGATAACAACTCTATCCTAACAACTTTAATAACGAGAATATCTTACGGATTATGTTGTATGACTTTAATTTCACAACAAAGGGGAGAGGTAGGGCCATTGCATAAACATCCAAGATTTGATATCACCCTATATTAATTTCACACTTGGTAAGTTGCTTGTCTCAGTTTAGAACAAGTATCTAGCAAGAAAGCAGTAATTGAACATGAAACTTGCAAGGACCACCTATGCAAAGGCAATAAAATTTAATTAATTTTACAAGAAACCTTAACATGCTGAAATAAAATATGTATAATATATATGTATTTTGCTCAGAAGTTAAATGATCAATGTGAAATATTATATTTGGACTGGACGATGATATGAGAACTTCTCAAATTTCATAAAAGTAAGCGAAATTATTGCTTTGCGTTTATATAAGTGTTAATTTTTTATATCCTTGCTGTAACATATTATAAAAGAAATACCTAATATTAATTTTTATCATCTCTTGAACATGCTTAGTTTGTATTTTAACAAATATTTTGTTAAAATAAGGCTGTGGCATGCAAGACTTTGAAAGACGCTGATAAACTCGAGGAGTATTAGTCTTTAGAAGCCCTGGGTCGCTATTGTTTCTTTCAATATTACGTCCTATTAAAGTTAGTAAAATAATTTGATAGAAAAAAAGTCTGTATAAACCAGCCACGTAAAAGTTTTTGCATAAAATGTGTTCTTTGTTACTCCTACAAAGGCTTTGCCGAAAACTCTTACAACTCTAAGAGCTCTTTGACTTCAAAATGTGCATAATTTGGGTCGAATACCAACATTTATAATGGATAGTATGTAGTTCCCAATTGTTGATTTTACTGGTTTATTCCACAATGGTTTCTGATTATATTCTCACTAAAAATGATTTTTTAAACTATTTTATATAACGCAAATAATTAAAAAGTTTTCGTTTTAGAGGATCTACTAGTTTTTCTCAATTATAATCCTTTTTTTTCTTATACAATAAAGACCATAAAAATATACGAAATACGACCTTCCGAATAAAAAAGCTTTTGATTGGAAAACTATTATTCCAGTAACTTTTTATCCATAGATATTAAAATTTTAGGAAATTTAATTGTTGAAATGTTAACATGAACTAGATATTACATTTCATAATAGGAAGCCAAATAAAAAATGTTTTTAACTGCAAGATCTTTTACATTTGAAAATAAATACATTTGTACATAAACTATGAATTCAGACAAAAATAGATTATTTGATTATAAAGTTACTCAGAGAATCGTATCATTATGAAAATCTAGAGTTTTAACAGAATTTATAGACTTTAATATTTAAACAGAAAAAGAATGCAAATTATGTTATTTTTAAACACTAAATCTTGCAAATTTAATACTATCTAATTTATTTGTATGTTAAAATTGTAACATTAATAGTGACCTTGTTTTTAGTGAACAAATAAAAGGATTTGTCAAATGGCAATCGATAAATTTGAGGCCGTGATTCACTTAAAAGATCAAAGTAATTAGTAGTATGTGTAAACTGCTTTTTGTTCTATAACTTAAATAAATATTTTGTCATTCTACTAGCATTTATATTTGTATTAAACAATAAATTCATGTTCAAGTTTTGATAGAATATAACTTTATCAGAGACTATAGGAACATGTAGATGTGATACGATAGCTCTATCGTCAAATGTGGTTCCTACCTTACCTGTTTGAATGAAATACACTTCAATTTGATTTGAATATCCTATTGTAGGAAGAGAATTGTGACTAAAACTAAAACTTTTTACATTTTTCTGTATGGTATGACGGCATGTTAACATTTCTTTTTTATGAATTGAATATTTTAAGTTCAATTATAATTAAAAGAAATATAATGTGGAATAATTAATATATAAATTTATCAGGACAACTAAAATATTCAAAGTTGAGTTGAATTTGAATAAAAAATCTTAATTCTTTTTCATGATAAATAAAGCAACAAATAATTTATATTGTTAAAGAAATCATCATCCTGTCCTGAGTATACTTACGAGTAGCAACATAAACACAGTATTTTATTTAAAAACTGTCTCAGAAATATGGATCTTCGTTAATGCATTTTGCATGTTTTCTAAGATATAGAATTAAATATAAAATTTTATTTAGATTGTGTTGCAACGTATCAAATGGAGGTTATATTAAAACAACAAGCGCACTTTATTTATTTTTAATAAATTTATATCCTTACAACAGTATATTATTTACAGGAAAATTCTTAGTCTACGTTTGATATTAATGGTTGACAATTAGTTTCAGACAGAAGATGTTACACACCTATTAAAATTACATATCAAATATTTACAAGTACATAATTACAAATATGTTTGCTATGAAAGTTGAAATAAAAGGTATAATGACATAATATAATGTCGGATTAGAAGAGATACAATAAAAAGTACCTAATAAACTCACAGCCATTAAATCAATAAAAGTCACAGAAAGAACAAAAACGTTAAAATAGTCATTAAAAATTGATAAAATTATGTATTGACAAGTTCGAGCATTTCTGGCAATGCATTATATGCCACCATATTGCCGACAGTACCTTTGGGTTCCCTTTTTGTAACGATAGCAACGATTTCATCCTCTGGCGGCGGTGGTGGAAATTCTACATTTGCATCAATGGGTAATGTCATATCATCTACACTTAAAACTAATTCTCTATTGTCAACTTCAGCCCTACTACGCTCTATCGTAGAACTCTCTCCCATTATACTGTACAGATTTTCTGTCTTGGCCTTATGTCAGGAAGTCATATAATAAGCCTCACTGTTATTAATCTCATCATTCACAATATTGCTCTTTTGTGACCATTCTTTCTGTTGATGTTTTATTCTATAAATTATTTCATCGTGTATAACACCGAAACACATAGCAGTCAGGGCGAGGCCAGTTAAAGTGTACACGGAGCAGAACCACAAGACAGTTGAATTTATTGTGTAATACCTAATACCATTAACAGCTGTATATCTAATCCCAGGAATAATGTTACCGAATCCAATAGTACTTAATGCCATAAAACAGAAATAAAACCCATCTATGATTCCCATGTTATCTAAATTAAATAAAACTATTGCTCCCAGTGTTATATAAATAAAAATGGCTGAAAAACATAGTAAAACGGGAGCCAATATACTCAAACCACGCATTGATAATTTTGAATCAGTATCTGGCCAACTAATTATGTCATCTTTTGCTGTACTAGTGGTTGGCCTTTCAGAGAGTGAAGAATCTTTTTGACTATCCGTTTTTAGAACATAGCATTCCTCCGTGGGTGTTTTGCTTGTATTTTGACTGTTAATCATTTCTTCATGTTGTCTTTTCAATTTCATTCGCCTTTCCTTTTCTGCCATTCTACGTTCGTCGTAACAACAATATCCACAATTAGAACAGAGACAGCAACATAAAGCTCTACTAAAAACACTTCTTGCCATTTTTGATAGTAATGATCCAACACTCGATAAATAAACCAGAGTTAATGGTATTCCCATCAGGCCGTAGATTATGGTGACGCCTTTCCCCAATATTGTCTGCGGAGCGATGTTTCCATATCCTTCAAGTAAAAAGGTTACAGATTAGTTAATTAATTCAATAAGTATTACATATTATACAGTACAGTAAGGTAAAGGAGAATCAATGATATTATTTTTTTTGCGTTAAATATTTAAAAATATATTGTTTAGACATATTTTCACATACCTATTGTCGTCAGAACGGTCAAGGAGTAAAAAAAGGCTAGTGCTAAGTTCCAGTCGTATTCTTCATAATGATTATTAAGCTCGCTTAAAGAATATTCTCCTAATGCCATCTCCCTGTAGGTAACTCCATATTGTGACGAAATTTCTGTAGTAACTCTTTGCATCAATTCATTTTGAAACTTTAAAATTTCTTGTGCCGCTAAACGAGTCCAATTTTCTCGGTACAGTATATTCAATGACACTGTTATTTCCCAAATATTCTCAACCGCTTTGTTTCTAGCTTCCCAAAAATAGTTTCCGGAAATTGTTAAGTTGCTATGATCTTTATCTTCCTCCGATCCGTTTCTTTTACCAGTGCCATTTTCTTCGTATGATATTTTTTGTTTATCGGGCAATATTTTAGGTCGAGCTGGTACTTCCGCTCCGCCTTCAATTGCTAAAAATATAACTGATCCCAGAAAAGTATATGCCAGCAAAACAGAGAATATTATGCTATTTGTCAAGCAGCCGATTACGAATTGTTTTCGTCTATATTTAGTAGTCTTAAAACAAAAGCAGCACATAACTTTTTGGCGTGAACTTTGTCCTCTTTTTCTACTATTAGAAGCCACAGAATCAACATCTTGGCATTTTTCCAAAGAAATTCCCCCATTAATAGGAGCCTTTGCCAATGAGTACTGTTCGTAACGATTAATTGCTTCATTATCCATTGGTGCATGATTGATGTCCATTTTGCCAATAAGCTTTTTTATTTGGCAGTTAATACATTATCTCCTTCCAAACGGCAGTATCTGTAACAACATATAATTGTCTTTTAATAAAAAAATATTTTTATTTTATACTATGTATATTTAAGGAGGACTGAATATGATAGAACGAGATTACATTCAGCTCATTTAAATTGAATTAGAATTCAACGCAACGACTAAAACTTAGTACACCTAGTTGATAAAACGGGAGTCAGGTAGAGATTTTTCGAAATTCTGCCTTAATATAAATTTCGACGAGTGTTAAGAATGCCATAACTATCCTTAAGTATTGAGTGATTTTGGTATAGGTTCAATAAATTCAATTTTTTTTCAAATACATATATTTTCTGCACACGTACTACTGATTTGGATTGGCCAGAAGATGAGAATACTGATTACATGTCATGAATAAAAAATGTGTATTATACTTTCACAAGGAACCTCATTTTCACACCTTACCAGAACCTACATATAAGTCTACAGAAAACGTAGACTTTCGTGGTTTACATTATCCTTAGCGGTTTGAGGCCTTTTTAAATATCCGATAATATATAAAGAATATTTTTATTTATTATTAAATGGGTAATCCCGTAATACAAATAGAAGGTAAAGTAGCATATCATTAAGGAAATCATTATTTTAATAATTCAAAAGATGTACTTATATATTAATTATTTAAAAATATACAATACACCGTATTTGTCACTTTTAAGCTGAACTTCAAACAATATCGAAAACCTATCCAAAGATTTTTATCATAATCACAAAACAGGTTTATTCCATACGAGAAACCTGCAAGCCTGTTACGAATTTGCGTCATAACAAGTGTAAACATTTTATTTTTAAAAACTTTATTTATAATTCTAATAAAAAACCTGATTTCATGCAACAGATATTAAAAAAAGCATAATATATTTTAAATTTTGTCAATTGGTAGCATCCTGAGATATTAAAAAAAAATTAATTCAATAAAAAATAAAGTTTCTGTAAAGGTTTTAAAAGCACGATGGTAATGTTGTTTTGGGACTATGATGTAAATTAAAAATTAACGAAACGCCAATGTGAGGTTTAAGCTTACAGTAGCTTATATATTTTGCGTTAAAAAAATCATAGTAAAAGTTTATTCTGATTGTAATATTTAATTCTCTTGTTTATTAAATATAAAATATTTTTTTAAATATCGAAATTACTTCAAGTTTTTCATGATAAAACTCATTAGTATCTTATACTCTAACTAAACAAATATAATTAAGAAAAGACTTATTACAGTATTTTAGAAAACGTAAGAACGATGGAAACATGTTGAATGATGCAAGTAAACATAATCTGTCACATCTGCTTAGCTAATTCCACTTAATTAGCTTGCGGTCTAGGGTGCCTTCGAGTTATTACGGTGACTAGTTAGGCTTTCAAAATAGTGGTTCCAAACCTTCAATGTCAAAAGCATTTAAGATATCTAGTGGATATTAAATTAAATTTAAAATTTAAAATCAAATAAACATACATAATACATGTTATAAAAAAATATATTTCTTTCTGTAGTTCCAATATCATCTTGTAATATAAACAAATAAATGAAAATTTTGCATAAGTTATAAAGATGTGTCAAAATAAAAAAGAACATCCAATAACTCATAGTGTTGTAAATGAGGACCCAAGTCTGCCATTTCTCTAACAAATCACGTGCCAAGTTGGACATATTGGTTAAGAAGGGTTTGGATATACTTCATAAAACCTAAGATAAAATTGTGAATAATATTAATATTTTATTCCTGATATTCCTTCCTTTTTTATGCTTCAAATTTAAATATTTCCCGAAACTGTATATGAAGAAGAACAAACAAAATTAAATATATACCTAACAATGAGATACAAATAAAATAATATATCCTAAAACATATAAATAAAATCTACATATTACTTTAAGAAGATGTTCTTCATTCATTCGTGTTAGTAAGCATCACCGTTAGTAAATAGAATGTCTTATAACCAAACACTATTTACCATGAAATGGGTGGTATAAATCATGGTTAATAAAATATTACGTACTCTTAATAGATGTCACTATTACGTACACAAGAAAAATATAAAGCTTGCATATATTAAACAGGAATAAAACATTTCAATCAGACTCGTTTTGTTGAATTCTCAGTGCGATTGGCTACTAATGAGAGGCATACGGCTTACAACCAGAAATTGGCTAACAGTAACTTCAGTTATACACACGACGTTTGTATACTCGTATGTTTGTATTTATATTAACTCATCTATAAGAAATAAAAATAAAAATATAAAACTTGAATTTATACCATTATATCCATTCTTAATGTAAAATTACAATATGTTTTTGTGTTCAGAAAAAATATATTAACTTTATTTTCACTTTTATATTACTTTTCAGTCTCTATACCAAATGAAACATTTTTATATTAAAACATAAAAAGAAGTAGAAATGTTAATAAAGCCAATATCTTAAACCTTGAATAATATTTACAAATTCAAAGTAATTAAACTTATTTGGATCTTTCATTACGTAACAGAGCAAAATGAATAACATTCTGTCATAATTATTAAATGAAACTTTTATAGTGTCCCTTTTAAACATCAGTTTAGTGTCAGTATATTAAATATCCAAGATAAAATATTGGTATACAACATACGTACATCTGTCATTAATCGGTTTTACGCGCGACTGTTACTTTATTGTACCAAAACAATATCTTCAATTTCAGTGGTATTAGCCTCACATTACAAATCTCAAGTTGATATTTATTGTTGTATATGGACTTTATATGCTTAATATATTAATACAGATTTTATTAAACCTAAGCCAGCCCCTAAAAGGTGTGACGATACCATTTCCAGGTTTTTATTTATATTTCAATTCGATTCGCACATCTCTTGAACGTTAATCGTGCTCATGTGCTTTCTTTGATTAATTACAATCATTTCACCTGTCTCCCTGCTCCATGTTTCATAAGTTGGTCCTCTCATTTCTCATAGAGATAACAGTCCGGTTATTTGTATGAAATATCGAATATTTAATTATAAAATAACAAATCGTTTATCACTGTTATTATTATATTATAAAAGTATTGTTTATAATGTTAAATGTTAACACCACTCTGTGCTGAGTTTATCAGAATATGTAAAAAGTAAATTAAAAATCCCGCTTGCATATTAAGTGACCTGAAGAGATGGAAATGAGATAACGTTAAATTAACACTCAGAGACGCGTGTTACAGACAGCGATAAAAAATCCTTTCAGTAGCTTATCTACAAGCTTTTGCTATTATCCTTACTCTTATATCCTTTTATAAATATAAGGGTGTATTTTAATAACATACTCGTATATCAAAAGTTATACGAAACAAATTATATCATTTAAAGAGTTAAAACTTTAGTAAAGGAAATATTATTAAAATTTTGTTTATATTCGACATTGATTGAAGGTTTTTTTATAGTTTCAATTAATTTTACACTACATTTCATATAAAGTAAAAGTGGACGCAGTAGTCGCTGAGCCAGAATTGACAGTTACAGAGCGAGGACGTATTGCGATTAAGAATAAATATTCGAGTTTGCTTCAATATATTGAGAGACTTACTTTTTTGAAGGAAAAAAAAAAAAGATTATGTAATGTAAATAAAATTAATCACAAGACGTATTACAGGTTTTGGATTATTGTCAGATAATTGCCGCGGACAATAAAGCTTAATCGCAACCAGATGAGGTAATTCAAAAAATCTGACCTACAATTGTATTAAAATACATTATTTCTTATCTTGTAATGTTTTAAAATTAATTGATTATTATTTTACATTAAATATGTTATAGGTTAAAATAGAATTCTTTTGTAACTAACAGCTATGAATCTTATAGGTACTTTATACTTTCTTAAACTACAAGTTTAAGAGCTCATAAAATAGCATTGTAGAAACGATATCTTCAAACGCTAAAATTTATTCGTTTCTGTTTGCTCGTCGGGAATTCAGTTTATGGTGGTCTTTTAAATAAGTACTTCACCTTATATTGTTGCTATATATTCATTTATATAGCAGTTATATTTAATGTTCTGCACATCAATGCACTTTAAAACTTTACGATAAATAAAGACTAACATTTACTTTTAACGAAGACCTTTTCATTATATTTTTAACGTGGGTTAGTTTGAGTATAAACATTTATAATTTGGTTTAAGTAACATATATGTTTTAGTTAATTGTGTATAAGAAAAGATATAAAACGCAAAATGTATAACACACAGGATTATGTTCGATACATTGAAGACTATTTAATATAAGTATTATTACTTACTTGGTATTGTTTAGTTTTTTTAGTACAAATATTATATTTTCAAATTTTTTTATCCTGCTTAGTTCTTTAGTAAGCATGCTATGATATTCTCAGTATAGATTATAATATCAAGAGCAAGTTAGAAAGGTTTACAATGTTATAATATATTGGCAAATTCATTTTTCACGTTGTGCGCTTATCGCAAACTTGTTTAGTGGTAATAAAATTCGTATGAGCATGCACTGCAAGAGATTTATGGTTTGAATCTTGGTTCCATGTGAATTTCGGTAGTGATAACAGTAGCAAGAGGATGTAACGCTCATGTTTCTCTATGAACACCTAAAGTAAATTTATTTTGTATGAAAATAAAAAAGAATAAAATATATAAAGTGATTACTTATCTCATAAAGCAAAACATTGTTGGTGAGCAGATTCATCTGCATACTTTTTTATACTGGAAAACATTTAGCAATATGCTGATATGGGATTGCCTTAGCGGTAATTAAACACCAATTCCCAAATAATCGTCTTGGTATTTTTTCGTATTAGTACTCTTGGATTTGACTTGAAAATTTATAATTCTGTTACATAAATATTGAAATACAAAGTAAGCTGTTTAAAATGGGAATAAGCTTTTTCTGATTGTTATTATAACTAATGAGACTATGAATTAATAAAAAATGAAG